TTTAGGTTCATTTTTTTCCAATTTCTTCATTCTAGTCTTAGCCTTTTCAACATCCTGAACATTCTTTTAATTTTTATAAACTAAACTTTCTTCTTTGAGCTATTAAGTGCTGAGGATTTTAACAAAATTTAATGTCTTGTATTGACCATTACATTATTACACATAATAGTTTCCTGGACCTAAAACATCAGTGTGTTTAATCTGTTCAACTCTAGCCCATCCTCTGGAAATATTGATCTATATTTTCTTTTCTGGAAGTTACATGTTTGAAATTATATAATATATAACTTGGATCATACTTTTAAACTTAGAGTATGTATCCAAGGGGTCAAGAGATGGCTCAGCAGTTGAGAACATTGACTGCTCTTGCAGAGGACCCAGGTTCTATTCCTATTACCCACATGGTGCTAAAAAAAAATACCCTTAACTCCAGTTCCAGGGGGTCCAATGCCCTCTTCTGACTCTGTGGGTATTGCACATCATGGGTGCAGGCAATACACTCATACACATAAAATAAATAAGAGAATATGTATCCAAGACTCATCCATAGCTTTTCGTAGCCAGACACTTTGTTTCTTTTTAATCACTGAGTAATATTTCACTGTGTGGTTGTGCCATAGTTTATCTATTTACCATTAGGTTCCTTCTAGCTTATATCAATTATGACTAGAAGTACCATAAACATCCATGTGTAGTTTTTGTGTGGATGCATAATAACTTTTCATGCTCCTAAGTTAATATCTAGGAACATGATTTTTGGATAATATATTATAAGGCTATGTTTAGTTTTGCAAGACACTGTCATTCTACTTTGCCCTTAAAAACAACTCCTTGTTCCCTTCAACACACAAGTAGTTCATGTTTACCTGGTGGTCTTTTCTCCTCCCCAGACTATAAGCTTCTTGAGGGGCCTCGTGTATTTTTGGATCTGATGTAGTCATAGTATCTGACTTAAGACCTTAAACGTAGTAGGATCCAAATAATGAATGAGCAGAGCTTTGAGACTTTAAAATGATATTTGAGAGGATGGAAGTACAGCTCAGTGATACAGCATCTGCGTAGTTTTAGCAATGCTCTGACTTTAATCCCACCACTGCAAACAGCAACAATGATAAATTATCTGGAGCTCTCTGCTGGCCTTAGGAATTCTAAAACGTAACCCTTTCCCCATTGGCAGACAACTGAGACCAACCCAAACATCCCTATTAGTGTAAGCTCTGTTCCACACTCGGGTTTGTTCTTCCAATATCGGCTGATTCTTCATGCACAATTTGAATTTTATGTATTTGCCATTAAAAAAGCTTTAGAGGGCCTGGAAAGATGGCTCAGTGGCTAAGAACACTGACTGTTCTTGCAGAAGACCTGGGTTCGAATCCCCACACCCATATGGGGGCTAACAACTGTCCAAACTCCAGTTCCAGGGGATCCGACAGCCTCCTCTCCATGGGCATTGCATGACATGGGTGCACTTACCTACATGCGGGCATAACACTCATACACATAAAATAAAAATAATATAAAATATTTTTTAAAAAAAACAAGCTTTAGAACCAAACGATTGAGACTTCCCTTAACTGTCTTCTTCTCACATGGTATTTTTTTTTCTTTCTTTTTTTTTCATTTATTTTTACACCCACTTCCCAGGTAGCACCCTCCCATAGCCTCCCTCCCCCAACTAGAGCCCTTATACTCTGATATCCCTGCTACTGTCTACTACTTGCTCTTCTGGTGAATCTAGTCAGCCTATCTAGAGGTCTTTGTTTCAGGAAGGTCAGCTGTTCCTCATCTAGTGGTAATCAGTTGTCAATATTCCTTTGGATAAGATTGGGGTCTGCTGTTCATTTTCCCAGTTCTATGCTGGGCTACTATCTGGGAGTCCTTTGGGCCACCCTGGCCAACAACTCAAAAGAAGGTATCGCATGGTATTTTATTTTCATTCCATTGACCAACAAACAAACAAACACTCAGGGGAGGAAAGAGTTGAAAGACTTTCTTTCATCTTACAGTTCACAGTCCATCCTTCGAGCATGGAGGGAAGCCATCGCAGGAACCTAGAGCAGAGTCCATGGAGGATGCTGACTTCCTCTCACCCACTCATAGGTTCGTGCTTAGCTTCCTTACACAACCCAGGACCAGCTGCCTCAGGGATGGTCCTACCCACAGTGGCACCAATTAACAATCCAGACAATCCACATAGACATGTCCACAGGCCAATCTGACCTAGGGATTTCCTCAATGGAGGTTCTCCTGTTAAATGACAGTAGGCAGTTTCAAGTTGACAATTAAAACTGAACGAGAACACCTAGTAGAGTCCAGTACATTCTCTATACTTCAGCATTTCTCTGTACCAATCCAGACAATCCCACATAGACATGTCCACAGGCCAATCTGACCTAGGGATTTCCCCAATGGAGGTTCTCCTGTTAAATGACAGTAGCAGTTTCAAGTTGACAATTAAAACTGAACTAGAACACCTAGTAGAGTCCAGTACATTCTCTATACTTCAGCATTTCTCTGTATTAACACATAAATGATTATTCATTTCAGTTTTTATTCCAATAATCCCTTTCATATCATAAGTCAATTCCTGTAACCATATTATGCAGCCACGCCTATAGAATTTTTTCAGGGAAGATCTTATAATACCATAAAAATATCTCTCTAGAGTCTTACATTTTTTAATCAAACAGCTTTTGCTTCGAACTTTAGAAGACATTTGTCCTCTGGGATAAAATTAGCAAAGAAAAAGATTTAAAATGAAAGCAAATATAGCATGCAATCAGTGTTTCTCAAAGGAGCTCAGTCTGCCCTGTGCTTTGTTACAGCTTCTTAGCCTCGGATAGAGCGGCAATTGTCCAATGAATATATTTATGTCTGAGGTTCTGAAAAAAACAGGTAAACTTCACAAGCTTGTGCCCTTCTATGGTTTGCAATGTCATAAGTGCCTTGGGGCAGACGATTCACACAGTGGTCTCATTCTCAGTGGGGGACAAATCAACGTCATATACATTTGTACCATGTGTCATAGATCTGCATTTTCCAGGGTTATTAATTTTTTAAAAATCTGCCGCATGGTTCTGTTTCCAGAATGGATCCCAGTAATGTATAAAGATCTCCCTATCTGGCCAAGAGATGCCTTAAGTGTCACAGAATCAGCAAATGGACTTCCAAAGTTAACTGAAGGGTCAACAGTCTTGAGAGCTATTACAAATGCAGGCTGCTGAGAAATACTAAACACACTCAACTGGAAAGTACTTCTGAGATATCTTAGCTCCAAGCATTTGGGTTTCATGATTTGGAATAACCTGGAAGGCACAGTAACTAATATTTTTTTAAAGGATTTTATTTTTGTTTTTAAGAGTATATGTTGGAGGGGGTTATGCCCATATATATGCAGGTACCTACAGAGCCCAGAAGGTATTGAATCTCCTTGAGCTGGATACTGGGAACCAAGCTGTCTTCTGCAAGAGCAGAAAGCACTCTTTCTTACCCGCTGAGCCATCTCTCCAGTCCTATAACTAATATTTGTTAGGGAAGTATATGGGTTATTCCCCACATCTAGAGTTAGAGCCAGTAATCCAATGGATTTTTGAAATAACTTTCCAGACTTTGACTATTCACCAATTAAGATCCAGAGGGTCAGGTTTCATACTGAACGCTTGCATTTTTCCAAGTCCTGACTAACACTTTCTGCCCCTGCACACTGAGCTCTGTGTAGCTCGGTGATGTGCCAATAGCTCTGCACTGCTTTGCTCAGATTCAGAAGCACACTCTTTCCACAGACTATGGTCTACTTTCCTGTTCCCCATCCTGGAGGAAGCTTGCTGTACTAAGATATTTTCAGAAATACTACACTCTCTTCATTTACCAAGAGATGCTGACAAACCTTCCTTCCCTCGAGCTAAGTGTTTACAGCTGTGACACAGAATTAAATTGGAATTAATTTTGACTGTGGGCCTGTCACGCAGCCTGGCTTCCCAATAAGCTCTCGGAGGTGTCTTTGAGCCAACTCTTACAGGCATCCAAAGCCCAGGTGTGCCATTTGCAAGGATTTAGTCGACTTTTTTCCTGCTCTTAGGGGAACTTTTCCATTCCTATAAAGGAAAAGACTTTAGGAAAGAAAGTGAAATTCTCAGAAGCAACTCTGTTGAGAAAAGAAGACAAAGATCTACATTTTAGGTTCAGCTGGTAGAGTGCTTGCCTAGTATGTAGGAGACCCTGGATTTGGTCCTCATCACCACACAAACCAGGTGTGATGGCTCATGCCTGTATTCCCAGCACTGGGGAGATAGAGGCAAGAGGATCAGGAGTTTAAGGGTATATAGTGAGTTCGAGGCCAGTGTGGGATACGAGACCCTAGCAAAGGAGGAAGGGAAGAAGGGAGGAAGGAGGGAGGGAGGGAGGGAGGGAGAGAGAGGTGGGGCTGGCAAGATGACCCAGTAGGTAACAAGC